TTGGGACCCCTAAAAAGGTATCCCCAATTTTGGGAAACCCTAATCCCTATAATCCCCTATATAATCCCAGTTTCCATTTCATTTTCCATTTTCTTTTCCATTTGATTCTCCATTATAGTAGGTACCCCCTAATTTTGGGAAACCCTAAACCCTAAATAGTAGCTTCCAATTTATTTTCCATTATCCCTATATTACACCCCTATATTACACCCCTATATAACCCCTAATTTTAGGAAACCCCCATATGAAATTAAAATACAGTAGTTTCCATTTTCTTTTCCATTATCCCAATATAACTTATATAGCTCATATTGTTCCAGGCAGCGCTTTGTGAGCTCCCTGAAGGGCAGCAGCGAGGAGTGGTGTGCCAGCGCATCACAAAACACCACGAGGCGACGAGTGCCTGGTGCGGAGCTTGTTTACAAAAAATCTGGGAGTTCCCGAAAATTAGGGGTACCATCTTGGGGGTCCCTATATTAAAGGACTATATTATTTTGGGGTCTATATTGGGGTCCCCCTATTTTGGGAAACTACCATATTTCACCCTACACCCTGAACCCTAATCCCCTAAACCGGGCCCTACACCCTCAGAGGATCCTTGGGCTACAGAGCCCTGCTTAAGGTGATGTTTAGGGTTTAGGGTTTAGGGTTTAGGGTTTTTTGGGGGGTTTTGAGACTAAGGAGCTTGGTCAAGAGCCTGAAGACAGGCAGCAAACCTCAATATGGGGCTTTCCCAAAACTAGGAGTACCTTTTTGGGGGTCCCCATGATAAGGACTATAGTATATGGGGGTCTATATTGGGGTCCCTTTTTTTAGGGAAATTACCATATGGGCCACAGTCCATGCACCGACCATTGTTGGGGATTCGTTCTCCGCTGCCCCCTTGACGAGGCAAACAGAAAAGGGAGAACTGAGGGCCTGGCAGCATGTCTGAGGAATGAAAAGATCCAAAGTTAGAGGCACCTCGTAAAGCAGCGCAAGATGTGGTACGAGCTCGAGCCCAGAGACAAGTAGCCGGGTTCCGACAATTAGTACACAGCTGCAACCTGCTCAAGGCATCCTTCGGGCTGGAGATACTTTGCTGGGGACACTCGTGTCCAACAATCCACCTTGATTGAGGGAAATATTGCTGGTCTGGCCTACTGCACAAGGGTCCTACTGACGATTTTCAGGCATAAAGGGACATACTACTTCGAAAATGATTCTCCTTGCCAAGAATCCTCTACATGCATCGCCCCTGAAGTCTCAAACCCTCAACAGATCGCAGCCGCAGCGCCTTCAAAGGGATTCTTTGGCCTTTCTGAAAGCAGTTTTGCTTGGTGCATCTCGCAGCTCCGATGCGCGCGGTACATCGCCTCCTCAGAAGTGCGATTGCGCAAAGGATTCTATAGGGCTTAGGTGTTAAGGTTTTAAGGTTTTGGGTACTGAATGTCTCAGTGAAATGTGTTTCTAAGCATACAAAGTCATTCCAGGAAGAGGCTGCGCAAGGGGTCTAAAAGGAAGATGAATGAAGAAGGGACTGCAAGGCTTTGTGGGGTACTCTGGAATGCCTCTCCAGTAAGACCCTGAAGCAACGAAACTTGGTCTGCCTGACCTCACCAACAAACACTTACTATTCTTACTATGGCCCTCCCTTAACTATATGCCCAACCTGTAAGTCGAAGGTAAGGCACAGTTTTCAGTCGCACACCACAGAGGCTGCATTCGAAGCTGCCCCATCGGTCCTCCTTCAAGTAGCCATCCTTGGTCAATTGAAATCTCACGTGTTATTCGTAGGGAATACGGGAAAATGATCCCTCTGTAATCCCTATGTGACATATGACCCAATTCCGAACTTATTCCATACTAAGACCCAGTCAGTCATGGGCATTATACAGTTTTGCCAGATTGTGTGAGATCAAGCAATTCCCGGTATCGGCGTGTCTGCAGGCCGCATGGCTGTTGCTGTTGCCAATGTGCCATGCTTCCGGGGTCCAACGGTGGATACCAAAAATCCTGCATGACCCTAAGTACCTTATACCTTGGGGATTATAGTACTATGGTATAGCAAGGTCATGCAGGACTTTTTAGTGTCAACAGTAGAGTCCTAGATGCTTTCCAGGACTGCCTACTCTTAGGTTTTTTCCTTCCAAGCAACCCTGAGCGCAAAGGGGGATCTTGGAAACCTCAGCAGGACAAACGAATGTTGAGCACGAACTCTCGGAAAGTGCTTTTCAACATGCCCCATTCGGCAATGAATCTCGCAAAGGAAGTCAGCTTCATGCTGGGAAACATGAAGATGCTATGAGGGCCTGGAAAACACCTACCCCTCCACCCACAGACAGGGGCTGAGGAGGGGATATTCGGTCCTTGCTAGAACAAAGGGGCCGAGTCATCCGAGCCCTGGGTCCAGTTTAAGTTACGCGGCCCTGCCCTGATGCATCCCCCGAGCCCAACCGCCGTGTCATTGGTGGCATCCATCCGCTCCCGGAGGGGTCCCTTCTTTGGGACGTCGCATGAGATGACCCGGCGTCCAACTCAAGTGCGGAAGAGGCAAGGGAGCCCGTTACGCCAGCGCACCAATGACTAGCAAGGCGACACGTACAGGGCGGCGAAGCCAAGCGCACTACTGCCCGAATGCGGATAGCCTGACCGGCAAGGTGAACAGCCGAGGCCCAAGCAACAGAGGCAGAGGCAAATGTCAGCATCCAGCATGGGGAATCCTGCAGAGCAGCCCGAAGTGCCAGCCACAGCGGCACAGGATCAGAGCAGGACACTGAGGGGAAGAAGAAGCGTGATCCACTAACAGCGTGATCATGTCTCCCTCGGCGATGTAACACACAGAGATCGTTGGATTCTGGGAGTGCAGTGCCCCGCTGCTTTCTTTGTCTCCCGCCGTCCGGTCAGCGCCAATGCGTCTGGTGGTTTGCCAAAATTTGGAGGAGATATGTAGAGTTATACCATTATATAGAGATTTGACACGGAGAATCAAATGATAAAAGAGACGGTAACTGGCTTTGACGAGCTTGTACTCAAAGTAGTGCGAATCCAGATCAAGTGTTCCGCTTCGGTTGCACATCTGGATGGGTGTGCGAAGCTGGCATCTCTTAGATGGGTCCCATGACCTTCCGGGGCCATCCCACAAAATGGACCTCCCCCCATACTGGCTGAGCCAATGCTGTGGAGCTCTTGCCTTTCATTCCTGAAGCCAAAACCTGTTGAAGCACAGCAGCCAACACGGGTGAAAAACAGCAGCCTTTTCATAACATGCATTGTATATTCAAGCCAGCAGAAATCAAGAAAACGTCTACACATGAGACTAAGAACACCTGCAACAAAACTGCAAGTGGAGTGATGAGTGTTCTTCGGGTGCGAGCTGGATCTACCGATGCGCTGCTAATTGCTGCTGAGCTGCCGAAACATCATTGGTGTCAGCCTCAACATCCTCAGGGCTCAGAGCCACAACTAGACGTTTACAATGGGAATGTAAAGAACTTCAAATACCCTAAACCCTGAATAGTAGTTTCCATTTGATTTTCCATTATCTCAATATAACCCCAATATTACCCCAATGGGTACCTATATCGCCAAATTACTCTGGGGGCCATGAAGTTGCCCAGTGTTTAGGCAATCAGCCTGAAAAGCGGGCACCCAATTGGCTCGGCACATGATAGTCACGAACTTCTGCACTGCTCCTGACCAGGGGCTAGAAAGTACCCATCATTGGGGTAGTATTCAGGTTATATTGAGGTTATATGGACATAATGGAAAAGAAAAAGGAATTTACTTTCACGGGTCATATTATAGGCTTTAGGATTTTTTGTGGGGTTCAGGGATCAGAAAGGCATCGAGAAATGGATCCACATACTGTAGCAGTACGCAGTAATCAACATGCGTGGTCATCAGCATTGGGGTCTGTTGTTGAGTGACACCGCCATAAATCACTGGAAAGAGTTTTGGAGGCAGTCCTGAAAGATGCCAGTAGCCCTACTGCAAGCAAGCTATGCCAGTGCATTATGCTGATAGCTTCGTATTGCAAAAACACACTCCAAATTCAATAGAGGAACCTGATTCTCGCTTCAACCCCTTGTGAGCTTCCATGGGAGACAGGAAAGTGATTCTTCTGAATGCAAGGAGTTGGGCCGAATTTTTGAGGACAAGCAGGCTCGTTTAGCAAACTGACGCAGAATGAAAGGTACAGGCCTGCGCTCCGGAGCCACGAAGATATTGCTAGCGGAGGTGACAAGCTTTTGTGCTCGCAACAGCTCAGCAATCGGAGCTCCCTGAAGGAAAGCCCGGAACCCCAGAAGCATTGATATGACACCAGTAATCGCAAAGCAGATCACTACTTTTCCTCGCCTCAAGTCTGCCATCAGCATGGCCAACACTGACCGGAACTACTAATCCGCCGTACTGCTGGTTAGCACGGAAAGAGATGGAGATTCGTAGTAGTCCATATATTAATCCTGCAGCAGTTTCCATTTTCTTCTCCAACTACTCATTACCCAACCTGTCGTCCCAGCGCCGCAGAAGATCAGAGCATCCTCGTGAGTCGCCTCATGGGGGGAGGTCTGCCCTTGCTCGGAGTTTTTTGCTTAGACTCATAGAAAATGCAAATAAGTGGCGTTTAGGTAGTGCTTCACGATTTGCCTGGCTTCATTTCCTTGGGCTTGCACTTTGGCTCATGCACACAAGCTTTGCAAGAACCCCCTTGAGGCTGGAAGAAATGATGTGCAAGTTGGATTCCAGACTCATTCAACGATCCCGTCAAATCAGCATCGTGCTAGACGGCGAGCTCCCAGCAAAAAAACAAAAAAACAGTGTTGCTTGCGGCTGATGGCTGATTTGCAACAAGATGCGGAAAAACGTGGACTGCCGTGCCGTGGCGGTTGACAGCGTGTGGGTGTTGCCATACACCGGCAGTATGCTGTCTTTGATGAAATCCTCCTGAGCAACTTCCCGATTTTCCCCTCTCCATTAGAAATAACTTAGGTCAATCCCCCCTACAGTAATGGCCCCTGAATATTTAGAGTTTGTAGCGCCTTAACATACCTACGGGTCCTTTGTGGTACCCCTTACTGCGTGGAGGATTGACCTAAGAAATAACTGGGAAACCATCAAAGCTCGAAACTTTGGACCCTTTCGTCAGCACTTTTCTCAGCCAAGCGGCAATCCATCTCAGCGCCCTGCCTGAAGCAGTAAAATCGCCATAGACCAATCTTCGCACCCCGAAGGGCGTCTTAACTGAATGGTCGATGCCTCATGGGGCAATAGGTCATCGAAAGCCGCAACCAAACGAGGGGTAAGCGACGCAGCGACACACTATCTTAACAAAAGAGAAAAACCCCAGGCAACCAGGACAAACAGCCCAAGGATCCAAGACCCTACGGGCCCGACTTCGTTCTGAGATTGCCAGGGTCTTGTTCTAACACTGTTTTTGTTCCCTCCCCACTCTCTCGCTTTTGCTGGCACATCAGGCCTTGCACAACAGTTCCAGAGACTGGATTTTGACTTCTTATCACGCAGGCTGCTTGTTGCAGTCTGGGGCTTGCACCGATTGTGTTGGACCTGAGGTAGTTCCGCAGCTCGGACACGGCGGCCTTAGTCAATGTTCACGCATGTTCAGGCGATAAGTTCTATCATGTGTTGGGGTATGTAAGGGGTCCCCTTCTGTGGAAACTCCCAGATGCCGCCCTGCTATCACGTGACAGAAAATGGCAGCATGGCTCGGCGCAACACATCATCTGTACAAGCGAATGCCGTTGAGCGGATCTGCTTCGCGAAGTCCTGCATCGAACATGCAAGCGATGCTCCACACTTACTGTCACTCTCATGACATGTCGATCTGAAAGATGAGCCGGTGTAAGTGGATTGGCACGGGATATCAAGGGAGGGAAGCATTTGCGACAGTGGAGCACTGCTGCCTGGCGATCGCCTCCCATCTATTTGACCACAGAATTGAAACCTGCTGAGGCCGGAGGCCTGGGGCGTTTAGATCCAGGTCCGGAAACAAGGAGAATAAGTTAACCCTCCCCTGCACGATTCCGGGAGTTCAGAAGGTTTGGGGGCGGCTGGGGGGCTGGGGGGGACTGGGGAGGGGTGGGGGGTGGGGGGGGAGCTGAGGGTGCTCGCCTTAGAGGTTAAGTTAAATTACATGTTTTCTTTGGATGCTGAGTGGATACTAGGCAGAACTTGACGATTTGCATCCCCAAATTGGTGGAGTTGCTTGCGATAAGTTCAAGGCTGCCAAGGCGGCCTGTTCTGTGTCTTTAATACAAAAGTGGCTTAACCAGCAGCCTCCTGCTCAAAGTCATAGCGCAACATTGCAGCAAGGTCCCTTTCGATGTATTGCTTGCAGCTGGATTTAGCTTCTGCAGGGTGAAGAACAAGGCATTTGAATCGCATGAATGAAACACCTGGATGCTGCTGCTGGTCCCTTCATGTCTGGGCTGCTCAATTGCTACGACCATTGCACGAACATGTCTTGCAGAGCATTAATCCCATCCGGTGGCTGCGGGCAGCAACCTCAAACGACATAGAAGACCGCAAAAATTATCCTTGACAGAAAACTTGAACAACAATTCCTCAAGCAATCGAGGAATCCCAGAAGAAAACTCGGCTGTACTGCTTGTATCAAGGTAGACCACGCCCTGCGTGCATCTGAAACACATATCGGACATCATTCTTTGACTTTCCGTGCGCCCGTCGCCTCCCTGCGGAGGGGCTGCCGAGCACTCTTGGACGTGCTCGACCCAGGGAAGGCCA